TTATAGGTGAACAGTTGGTCATATCTCGTAACATTTGGCCCTTCCTCTTTATTTTTATCAAAGGCTTTCATAAATTTATCGGATCAACGAAAAATATAGCGCTTGCAGACATCACAAACGAACATGGCACTGTGTGTGTGTTTTAGGCATGGGCAGGTAATGCTAGCATTATGGCTGGCATTATAGTACCTTTTTTCCAGGTGGCATTATAACACCATTTCGCATACAAAATTGGCATTACAAGCATAATTGCCGGTCGACAACGGTGTCATGCATGAAGCTGCCTAGGTTCAGTTCCGAACCTGACTAAAACCGAAATAATGTTCCTTCCCCCAATCTCATCCATGTCACTTTTACACCATCCTGATTTCCCAGAACCCATGAAGGTTGTTTCCAACCATAAACACCTGGGAATAATGCTTGATGATCGTCTCTCTTGGTCTTTCCATATTGATGCTTTTTGCAGCCGTTCAAGCTCTGCCCTAGGTGTTATACGTCCCCATTGTTTCCATCTTCCTTTCAAATGTAAAATTTTGTTTTACAAACTGTACATCCTGCCTCTTTTCATGTACGCTGCTGTTAGCTGGTGTGGCTTGTCCTCGGTTCTCGCTGAGCATCTCGAAATCCACCATAGAAAACTTCTTCGTATCCTGTTTAGTCTACTCTTCTGCTTCCCTGTATGTCCTTGCAAATGCTTGCCCACTGTCGACCCACCGTCAAAAATTAATTTGCACTTTTGCTCACAAATTTAAACTAGCTCTACATCCTCCTCATCTTAACGTGTATAACTGGTTCCGAATCACAGATGGCTCCCAGACAAGATGCTCTGTTGCCCTCCCCTTGGCTAAAACGTCCTCCCTTGTACGCTCTCCACTCTTTGTTGCTTACTCTGCTTGGCTTGCGCTGCCCGCTACTACGCGCAATGCCAGTACCCTGGACGCATTTAAATCTGCTCACTAGATTCACCATCACCTGTCCCTCCCATGCTTCTCCGTCTTGACCATTACTTTTCTTCTTTTTTTCTTTTATTCACCATGGTTGGTTAACACCCACATCTCCCGTACTGGCTGATTTTCTTCTCATGCCATGAGGTGTTGTCTATAATAATAATAAATAATAAAATCGTGCGTCTGAACCCGTCCGGCTTCGTCCGGAGACTTGACGGTGCAAATCAACCTTCTCAGTGGATTGTTTCAGACAACATGCTCACTGCTGTTTAAGTGTTTTTCTCCTTGGCCTTGATCCAAGACGGCCTTCTTAAATCGACTTTTCTAACTCTCAAACTGGCATTATGGAGTAGTGTGAGCATTATAAGTGGCATTTAGGGTCTGGCGGATTCTGCGGGCAGAAAAATTGGCAGAATTCGGTACTTTTTCTGGTAAGTTTCATGCATGTTTGGTATGTGGATAAAAAATGGAGCAGAATTCGAGGAATTGCCCGCCATAAGGTTTGTATGGTTCTTCCAATTTCACTGCTTTTCGAGCAGAATATGCCACCTTTTCGAGCAGAATCCGCCGGTCCCTAGACTGGCATTATATCCTCGTATTATGAGCATTGCCTTTAGCATTATCGCTAGGCATATGCGGATAATGCCGGCAGAAAAATCGGCAGAATTCGGTACTTTTTCTGGTACGTTTCATGTATGTTTGGTATGTGGATAAAGAAATGGAGCAGAATTCGAGGAATTGCCCGCCATAAGGTTTGTATGGTTCTGCCAAGTTCACTGCTTTTCGAGCAGAATCTGCCACCTTTTCGAGCATTATCCGCACACCCCTAATTATCGCAGCAAATAACTAGCATTACCCGCCCATGCCTACAGTATGTGTTCTGAGCTCACTGTGTTGTATAATTTGTATTCTGTATATTCTGTAATCTGGCTTTGGAAAATTTATTTTATATTGCTACACTGTATCAGGTCCTTCAGGTTCGGCCTCATTTTCTCTGTGCTGCGCTGATGAGTCCACAAAGGACGAAACAGTTCTGTCCTCAGATTGAGTGATTTGTATTCCATACTTGCGATTCGTTTTATCTCGGGAGCTCAATATAAAAGCATGATGAACTAAAAGGAAAATAATTAGCTGAAAAGGAGAAAACTGCTGTTTACACGTTATGCGTAAGTCCACCAACTGCACCTCGACCAGACCTCTCCTAGCAAGACGACGAATCCTGATGTGCTGTCTTATCCATCGTATTCAGCCCTGCCCTATCTCCCCTGCGATTCTCTTACTTTTCAGTTCCCCTTTCATTCCTTTCTCTCACCCCTCTATTACCACCATGGTTGGCTGCTGCCCACATCACCTTTTCATTGGCCAGTGCGACGTGATTGTGAATAAATAAATAAATAATAAAGTCGACGTTCCAAAATACCCCGCATTTTAGACAATTTGACTGGTTTCGACAGGATAGTGCTCCTCGACAGGATTCGACAGAAACCAATATTCCAACAATTCTTTTAGCCGATTCTTTTAGCCGATTTTCCAATACATGTATATTCCAATTATGCAGCCGATTTTCCAACAATCTGTGTCGACTGCAGTCCAGACGAAGTAGTTGAATGCACGTTCGTGATCTGGGTTCGAGGGCACCATCAGACCCTCTACTCTGATCCGAGCTGGGAAGGCATACGATCTACGATACTGTCGCGGAGCACGAAATCTCCGCTGGTCTGGTCCCGTGGGATAACTTAGGGCGCGTTCGAATTGTCTTCATCAACTGTTCTAACAAATTTTATAAAAAGATTAGTTGAAGTGTCCCATTAGAACGGTTTCTATCATTTTAGAGTTTTTCAGTGGAATTGTCATGGCGATGATGACATCCGATCAGATCGACCATCTCCACGTACTACGTGACGTAGCTATTCCAAACTCTTCGAAACTAATCCACCTTCCCATCGGATGAGTTTCGAGGAGTTTCGAGGAGCTTCGTTTTTCTGAAGGCCACCTCTTCAGAAAAACGAAGCTCCTCGAAAAGTCAAAGAGTGACAATTCGAACCCGCCCTTAGTCTGATCCGAACAGACTCCTCGCTCAGTGACCCCCATGCCTGGGGAGTAGATCTACTACATGCCATGTACTGTAGATCTACAGTCGATACACATAATTGTAGTCATGTAAGTGTTCGAGGTGGCCTGCACCGCCCCGCCTACCCCGCGGATCGTGCGTGTCACGAGGCAAGTCAAGGGGTCAAGGCACTAGGCATAGGCATATGCGGATAATGCCGGCAGAAAAATTGACAGAATTCGGTACTTTTTCTGGTAAGTTTCGTGCATGTTTGGTATGTGGATAAAGAAATGGAGCAGAATTCGAGGAATTGCCCGCCATAAGGTTTGTATGGTTCTGCCAATTTCACAGCTTTTCGAGCAGAATCTGCCACCTTTTCGAGCATTATCCGCACACTCCTACACGGGACACACATGATTGATTGATTGATTTTATTTGGATTCGCGAGACCAAACGAGCAGGAGTGCTCAATAACAGGGTAGCGAATGGTTGAGTTGTGCTATGTGACAATGTAGTGTGTGCGTGGGGTGGTGGTGGGGGGGGGGGGGGGGGGAGCTGCGGAGGCCCAACACAATGTGAGGGGATGGGACATGACACAGCAGACATGGCAACTCATTCGGGTGCTTGCCAGACCCTGGTGAAATCTGGCCACGTGGATAACAGCTCCAGACCAGGCAGCGTCCATAAACCCACCATGTACCAGCAGTGCGACAAATATTGGGCTTTGCAATGGTCGCAGCTTTGGGGGTGTCCATGAGGTCGGATTAGATTAGCCTGCTTCGCGCCACTTATTCCAAGCCCCCTACAGACTAGACTGGATCTAAGTTACAGGTAGTTACTTGGAAGGCGACTTAGGCGAGCATCAACACAGACCAAGCCAAAAAGGACGTTTTCATTTTAGATCACGCTCTCAAGTCTCAACGGTGCTGCCCACTGAGCCCATGGCCCCTTCGCGGCTCCACTGCACCACCGGCCCACTGCACCGCGGAGTCATAGAATCTTATCACGTGGCAAGATCATGTGATCAGGGCCTGCTCTAGACATTCAACACAGCCCGGTCAGAGTGTACCTGGCGCATGCAGGCCAGCCGGGTCAAGCCGGGTCAGATCATCCGGCAGAAAAACAACCAAAAAGCCTGCTCAAAACGCAGGAAAACAGAAAGGCGAATTTATTACCGGAAATCGGAAATATTAGAGAACAAGGCGAACTATCAAAGTCCCTGCCCGCAAACGTAGAAGGTAAACGACAAAGCGTGAGTTCTTTTTCTCTTCGCGCCGCTTTTGACTGCCTGCCCCCATCGACTTTGAATGTCCTGACTTCCTGCTCGCCGTTGGCCAGATCGCGCTAGAACCAGTTGACCCTAGCCGAGTTTCTGTCGCTTGTAGACTGTAGTGTGTAGATCTACGATTGTGCTAGATTTGCAACAGATGGGGTCCGCGAGTCGTAAAATACCGGTATTTTAGGAATCCATTGTCAGTTTGAGACATTTTTCAGCCAGGTCAGACTGGACCCGGTGTTATCTGTTCAGCCAGGTCGTGCAGTTCCCCAGCCGGGCGCGTGACCCGGCTGACCCGGCTCTCCAGCAGGCCCTGGTGATTCAGTAGAACTAGCTAGCCATGTACATAATGTCTGCCGTGTCATGTGTGTCCCTTGACCCCTTGACTTGGCTCGTGACACGCACGATCCGCGGGGTAGGCGGGGCGGTGCAGGCCACCTCGAACACTTACATGACTACAATGATTATGTGTATCGACTGTAGATCTACAAAGTCGTGTACTTCGAAGTAGATTCTACATGTCATGTAGTAGATCTACTCCCCAGACATGGGGGTCACTGAGCGAGGAGTCTGTTCGGATCAGACTCAGTGATCCCACGGACCAGACCAGCGGAGATTTTCGAGCCTGGCACAAGTCCAAGGACGTGATCTGTCGAAGAACGAACTGCCAAAAAGGCTGACACAAACAGCGCGCAAACTCGCCAAATGCAGGCGGCGAGGGCTCGTGCGGCAATCGCTGAGCTTCGGAAACAAGATGTCAACACCGCTAGAAAAGTGTTTACATCCAGCCAGAGCCTCCAAACACTTCGAATCCAGCGAAACACAAGCAAGGCCTTCTATTTGTTCTTGTTCCCGATGTTCGCTCCTCATAGCACACAGGTTAATTTGTAGGACACATGACTTTGTTATCACGTTAGCCTATCGAGTGCACCTTTGAGCTGGGAGGATCTTGTGCGATCAACCGAAACAATTTCTTCGCTTTGCCACCGAGCTCTACTACGAGAAGGTCGGACCGATCTGAAAGGTAATCTGGTAAGCTGTAGCTGCTCCAGCTTGTTTTCTCGGCAAGGATTGAACAGTATGTCAGTAATGTCACGAATGAACGCTAGTACAGTGAGCAGTTTGAAATGAGTTTTTTCTTTTCTTCTGTTTGCAATGCTGGTGTACGTATAGAGCAATTTGAGGGGATAATCCGTGACGAGTGAGAGGTAAACCTCACTAGGCAAGCTACGTTTCAGCACCACTTCCGAGGTGTTACTTCACGCCTCGCTGAAAGGGAGGACCTAACTCCTAAGGAGCACGGGCGGACACGCTGCGGCTGATCAGCTACCAGCAGGCTATCGCTGGAGGCAGTGGACACGGGAGCGGATCCACCGACTGATCTACCGCCTCGGCAATGGAAACAAGGTAAGAACGCCGATTTGAATACGTTACAGACTAACAGTTTGTGCAGCTTCTGGTGTCCCTGCAACAAGAAAGTTAATAATTAATTATGCGGCCTGCACATCAGCCCGATGTTTTGGCTGATTATGGAATCGTACGAAAAATCCTCCAGATCGGCGTGAAAATTGTCTGATGCGGACGGTGTTGTCGCACGTATTTCCGACATATCTGAGTGGGTATATTCTAGTGTAGGTCCGACCCAGTCGGCCCATTTCATGTCGAAGTCGGTGTCGGAGCATTGGCCGGCGAAAACTCGGCGTAGTGTGGACCAGGCATTAGCCAGAACGAAGTTGGAGCCGGGGTTTGGTATTTGCAGACTATCAGGTTTCCCTGGATGCAATTTGTAGAACGTGTACTGTAGATGGCATGCTCCTCGTAGTCAATAAGTCTCACGTGTTTGCCACGGCGGCATTGTCGTTTCCATACGTACAGTAAAACCTGTGTGTGCCGGGCCCTGTGCTAAGCGGAATCCTGTCACGATTGACCGGACAAATAACTTTTTCAAAGTGTTGTGGATCGATTGTGCATCCCTGCATGAAGCGGAATCCTATCATATCGGGTCAGTTTCACCTGGACCAAGGGCGTTGTCCGGTTAGGTCAGATTTTACTGTATTTTCAGCTAGGATAGTAGTAGTGGGCAGACTTCCCATTCATAGGAAGTAGAGTGAATGGAAAGGGGCGGGTCTGCTCTAAGCTACTTCATCGAGGATGTAAAAGAAATGCAATGACCATCCTGTCCAGGCAAAACTTATATCAACATCACCAGTATCACGTTCAAGTAGCAATTGAGCCGTAAGCCTATCGCGAAACCAATGAAGTTGAACGTGGCTTTTATGCCTTGTGCTGTTGTGGAGAACTTAGGAGACTTTGTTGATGTTGCCATCCGTAGTTTTATTACCAGACAATTGTCAGAGAATGGAGTATGAGTGCACTGCTTGTATGCACGCGGTGGCAGATTGACTTTGTCAGGGTAGGGGCCAGTAGTGGATCCATCTCGCCAGATGGACGGGTTCCTTGATTTGAGTTTAGGCGCTAGTGGTACCCCTGTGCCGAATTCGCTTTTAGTAGTTTTTGTGCAGCGTTTTTGACCTTTCCCTTAGTCACAATCCTATCGTATGGCAGAAAGAGCATGTTATGCCGTTTGTGCGTAGTTGTATTTCAGTGGTATGACAGGGCAAACCTCCTTGTGCTATAGGTAAACGGTAATGGTAGCCCATGGTCAATTCAGAGCATAGGGTCAAGACGCGTTGAAGACCTTCAATGAGCCCGACATAGCGAGCGCAATGCTCATTCTCTCTCCGTTGTGACGGTCGTTGCCTATAGGGACTGAGTATCCTGCCCTCAAACACATGTTCTGAAGGGAGAGGAGTATGAGTGCGGCAACTTTTTTCAAGGACGGTGCACCAAAACTACACAATCATGTAGGTGGGCATCATAACTGTATGCAGTCCCTGAACCTAGAACCCACATGGATACGGAAAAGTCAACCAACCATACAAATGGTGATGCCCATCTATTTGTGCTGTATGGACTGTAAAGTTTTGATGAGAAATACAAGCGACTCCACTTATAACGCACTCGGATGTGGGCGAATTTCGTGATATAGCGAAGCCTTGTCCATGTCCGTGTTTGAACCCATACAAAATTGACCCTTTACAGCGAACAGTTTTCGTTTGTAACGAACCAAATCTTGTAGGTCTGCATGTAAACCAAGTGCACTCATACTGTCATTGGTCACTTGCCAGTCATGACTTGTTGCTTGTATAGTGTGAGTGCATTTCTGTTACAACAAACTTTGGCTATAAAGAACTAATTCTCCTGCACAATGGTGTTCGTTATATCAGGAGTCGACTGTACCATTAATTTTGTTTGGTGATGAGCCGACCTTTAATTAATGACCTAAAAATCGAAAGAAAAAAGGTAGTCGACCAACAACCAGGGATTAACCGTCATTGATCATACTGATATTGACCCGGTAAATCGAGATCCCAAGAATTGGGGTCGACTTATACCCTGTAAAATACTGTAGCCTTTAGACATTTCAAAGGATCAGTCGGGGAAGTGAACTGCCTGAAAAGAGAAAAAGCCAGACCCACCAGGACTCGAACCTGGGCCCTTGCTTGTCTTGAGCAATGCTCTAGCCATCTGCTATGGGACCAGGCCGAACCTAGAAGGCGCTGACAAGTGTTTCACTCGAAATGCACCTCACAACACGTGCCACACACACACTGATGGCACTTTGGTCTTTTTCCCTCCTCTGGGGACCAACTATGGATAGTTTCTGGAACGTACTACCAGAGGTGAAAGAAAGTGATCAATCTTTAAAGGATTGGGAGATAAAATGCCAGACCCACCAGTACTCGAACCCGCGTCCTTGCTTGTCATGAGCAATGCTCTAACAATCTGAGCTATGGGATCAGGCTGAACCTAGAAGGCGCTGACAAGTGTTTTACTCAAAAGGCAGCTCACAACACATGCCACAGATACTGGTGGCACTTGGGTCTTTTTCCTTCCCCCAGGGGACCAGCCACAGTTAGTTTCTGGAATGCACTACCAGAAGTGAAAGAAAGTGATTAATTTTTAAAGGATTGGGAGAACTTCAAATTTGAAAGGATCAGTCGAGGAAGTGAACTGCCTGAAAAGAGGAAAAAATGCCAAACCCACCAGGACTCGAACCCGGGACCTTGCTTGTCATGAGCAATGCTCTAAGCCGCATGATCTGAGCTATGGGACCAGGCTGAACCTAGAACCTAGGTTCGAGTCCTGGTGGGTAATGCATTTTTTCTCTAATCCTGTGCAATTTGAAGTTCTCTCAATCTCATAAAAATTGATCACTTTCTTTCACCTCTAGTAGTGCGCTCCAGAAACTGACCGTGGTTGGTTCTCCAGAGGAGGGGAAAGACCCAAGTGCCAACAGTATATGTGGCACGTGTTGTGAGCTGCCTTTCGAGTGAAAAAAACTAGTCAGCGCCTTCTAGGTTCGGCCTGGTCCCATAGCTAAGATGGTTAGAGCATTGCTTATGACAAGCAAGGTTCCGGTTTCGAGTCCTGGTGGGTCTGGCATTTTTTCTCTTTTCAGCCCGTTCATTTCCTCGACTGCACCTGTGAAGTTTGAAGTTCTCCCAATCTATTTAAAACTTTAATAGATGGTGCATTTTCTGCTGGATAATGAGCATGTTCCCATGCACTTCAACACAGCTATGTGATGGGCGTTCTCAGTGAGCAGTGCCCGTTTGAATTCCATCTGGGACCTATTTTTTGTCTTGAACACAGCATGTTGGGTGAGCGGTGTGATGCTAGAATCGCCTTTAGTGAAAATGTACTCAATGGCCAGGGTCTGATTCATGCAACCTAGTTTGCAGTTTCACTGGGTCTGTTGCCTGCAATAACAAACACCTGGCATGAATCCAATATTCGTGGTTTGTTACGATAATGAAGGGAGCTGCCACTGTTGTTGGTACTGGCAACCTCTACTCCCTCTGTTTCTTCTTGAAGGAGAGCTGTCCTTCAACAGGCTTCCTTTCAGCTTTTCAGGGAAAATTGAAGCAAAGCCATTGCAGAATGAGCCTATCCTGTACACTATAAAAGAGCAAAAACGAATATACCGTAAGGAGCGTGGAAATGGTCTCTAAACTAGTTGACTGGGGCTGGTCAGTCTGTGAATCAGATATCTGCAGTGGTGAGAACTGTCATTACACTGGGGTGTCAATTATCCGCAACACTCAGAGAGCAGTCTCCAGTGGGTTCCGATGACGAGTATACTGTAATACTTGGCCACCGCATTCGACCATCTAAAGTATGTACATCCCGAAGTGTTTCACGACTTCCTGTTTTCTTTTGGCAGTACAACAGTTCTCCTCCACAATCGCTCGTGTTAAGCCTTGGGTTTTTGCATCTTTCTTACCTGTACAGCTCTATCTTCTTCTTTTTTCATTGTTTTTGGTGCGTGTTTTTGGCCGTGACGCCGAGACCTCAGGTCGGCAGAGTCATCAATGCCCCACCATCACTGCTGCGTCTCGGTGCAGCGCCTGCTCATTAGTTGTCACGTTTGTCCTAGTCTCCGTACCATTGTCTTTCCTTATTCTTTTCGAGTTGGTTATGTGAACATAGTAAAAAAAAAAACAGGAATAAAACACACTCCAACTCCTCGTAGCCATCCAATGGCGGGTACATTTTGATGAAGCTCTTCTATTGTAAAGGGGAAGTTAAGGCAAAAATTAAAATTTCACCAGTTGTAGTCTTCGGGGTGCTGAGTCGAATGGTCTTGGTCCGAGAAAGCTGAGACGCTCCCTTCCTACTTGAATCCCAATCGAACTCGCGCACTTCCGCCGAAACTGGGTAACTGCGCCCTACTAGATGGGGATTTGTATGCAAAATGTCACTAAAAGCCCCATTTCGTTCTTATAAAAGCACGGATGACCGCGATTGGCCAATATGTTTTAGTCTTTTGGACGCTGAGTCGACTGGTTTTGGTCCGAAAAGGCTGCGATGCAGCGTTCCTCCTTCATTCCCAATGGAACATGGTTGAACAAGCGGTCACGTGCTCCTGCGTACACCAGCACCTGGTCACCGTGCCTGCAGGGTACAACTTACTAGCCTGTTTGACCTTTTTAGGGTGCAGTCCTGTCACTCGAGTTGAACCTTGGTGTGAAAGTTGTCGCCTGCTGGCGTGGTGACCAGGTGATTTGGGCACCCAGGAGCACGTGACCACTTGTTCAACCATGTTCGATTGGGAATAAAGAAGGAACGCTGCATCGCAGCCTTTTCGGACCAAAACCAGTCGACTCAGCGTCCAAAAGACTACAACATATGGGCCAATCGCGGTCATCCGTGCTTTTATAAGAATGAAATGGCGCTTTTAGTGACATTTTGCATACAAATCCCCATCTAGTAGGGCGCAGTCACCCAGTTTCGGCGGAAGTGCGCGAGTTCGATTGGGATTCAAGTAGGAAGGGAGCGTCTCAGCTTTCTCGGACCAAGACCATTCGACTCCGCACCCCGAAGACTACAACTGGTGAAATTTTAATTTTTGCCTTAACTTCCCCTTTAAGCAGATGGAAACAATATGCAACAGTTGTAAAAACTTGAAAAAGGATTTATTGAAGGAAACATTGGGCGATGATTTGAAATAGCTTTTTGTACAAGCTGTGATATTCCAGGATGCACGGAGGGCACATACCTATGACAGGGAATTTGTGTGACCTGTCAAACTGAAGGTACCTCTTCCTCTAGTCTTCTCAATGATGATCACATCTCATCCCGACCTTATTGGTTGTGTTCTTTTGTGCGTATTTTTTGGTGCTGCGCTGTATTTCAGGGAAGTCAATGACTTGACTGTCAACGTGTGCAAATGGCGTCCGCATGGGAAAGTCCCGTGTTCATTGGCCTGCTCAGCAGAATGGTCAAAACGTTCACTCCAGCCCCGCTGCGTATCGAGTGTGAGTCTAAGGGACTGATTAAATGCACACAACGTCAGGGCTTCGCCGCGTTAGTCGGTCCTGCTGCCCAAAATGAGGCCCTGCTGGACGCTTTGCGATCTGGAGATGACGAGTCTTTCCATGTGTTCCTGGAGTGCATCCGTGACGTAGAGCCGGAAGCAAGCGTCAGGGAGATCTTGGCAAAGCTAGACGGCGTAGACAAGCTGCGGACAGCTGGTGGTGCGAGGGCTGCTGAAGCTGCTGGAATGCTTGCTGCCGGTGCTACACTTGATCGTCCTACTGGTGAGTGTGCGATCATAATACTTGCGTATTTGCGTATTCACTCACTTCCCAACACTTAGGAGCTGCATCTGCCCCTATATCCTTGTGGGCGGGGGAAGGGAGTTCCTCGCGGATGCAGAACATTCAACCTGACCCAGGCTGACACAAACCATGAGACATTTTTCTGCATTTCCACCAGGTCGACAAAACCTTAGAAGTTGCTCAGGCTGCACTGTTACCACCTCTGAATGTATTCTAGCAGCAGATGCAACGAATCTACCGTAAAGTCAGACACTTTCGCTAGAAATTAAACTTTGCTATTTTCGCGACTATCACACATTCGCGAAAATAAATCGCCGCAAACCATTCCGTACATTGATTGTAGAGTTTGTAGACAGTACAAGATCCGACTGAAGAGATAGAATCGCCAAAGTTTTTCATCGTGAATCAGTCCAAAAATTTATGAAAACGCTAAATTTGCGCACCGCCATAGTTTGTCGCTCTACAGTAATGTGATGGTAACCAAAAGAAATAGTGTAGAATTGGATTCAAATAACACCTCGACACTCGGCACGATCATTCTGGCAAACATAGGTCTGGCATGAACTATGTTTAGCCGTGCACTTAAATTTATTGTCCTGAAGGAAAGTGCTCCTCAGATGTAGTGATGGAGTGTTATTGGCCTATTAGAAGGCACTATTGCTGTGTCAAGTTTGAAGTTCCCATGGTTGAGCACTGCCACTGACCTTCTTCAGCTGGCATGAACCCTTTCAGTGCCAAGGGGGTCAGAAAAATTCAAATTTTTCTGAGTTGAGCCGAACTCAAAATTTTCATAGCTCAGCTGTATATCCACGGATCTCTACAAACGATGGCTCTCTGGAAAGATATCATGGCCAGGCAGACAGCTGTGAAGAGAAAATGCAACGAAAATAGTCTTCCTCGCGAGCGCGCCTGAGCGAAGTCCGTTTTCTGCATTTTAGTAGCATCTGCACTTTCTCACGAGCGCATTCGATCGCAGTGCAGTCAACTTTCAACGCACAAAATTCGGACAAAGTTGGCCTGAAAGCTACTGAAAATCTCGATGTTTTGATACCCAATACGTATGGGTTGCCGCGAAAGAAATAGAGAAACCCGCGTGGAGTACTGCCACTGACCTTCTTCAGCTGGCATTACTGTAAACCCCCTAATTTTAGCGACACATAAACCTTAACGAATTTAGCGAATCAGTCAAATTCGCTAAAGTTAGGGGTCGCGAATCACTTTTTTTTTGTGAAAACCACCCTTTTCAGGTGATCTACGGATATTTCCCCTCGTTTGAGGGGGATTATGGCTCATAATTCGCTAAAGTTAGGGGTCGCGAATCACTTTTTTTGTGAAAAACCACCCTTTTCAGGTAATCTACGGATATTTCCCCTCGTTTGAGGGGATTATGGCTCATAATCCTCTGCGCGCCTTGGGGATTTGGAAAATAATCCCCTCGGAACCGTGCAATATCCTATACATACATGTATATGTACATGTGTACTGCACTGCACTGCATACCTGCCTGTGTTACTGTGTAGTAACTCATTTACCTTTCTTTACTTATTATTATTATTATTATTATTATTGCAAATAACGCTGAGTAATTACACCAAGAGTACATAACCCCCCAGAGTGTGCAACGCCGATCCAGCTCTGTGTAGGGTCTTGGTCGAGCGGAATCGGATCTTCTGATGTCATGCGTACACTTCACACCAGCGCAAGGCCGGTCTCGAGGCAGGGCACCATTGTTTTTGATCCAAGAGTACCCGCGACTCCCCGGGTTCCCCTCAGATGTGTACGGTATTATGACGCAAAGATCCGATTCCGCTCGACCAAGACCCTATGCAGAGCTGGATCAGGCGTTGCACACTCTGGGGGGTTATGTACTCTTGATTACACGAATGCATAAAAACCAGCATTTGCTTCCGGGAAGGATTCACAAACATAAGACAAAAACACCATCAATGTAACTGCACATACGAAAAGCAGCTTCTATTGTCAAGTTCGAGTGGCAATGTCAGAAAGACGGTAGACTGTTCGTGCACGATGTTCACCCTGCAGGGGATAAGTCAAGGACGCGGCTCGGCAGAGGAAGATGAGTGCCGCGGGGTGCCATTCCACCGTGACTTATCCCCTGCCAACTGCCGCAGCTGATTAAGGCCTCTAAGCGTGCCCAGGCGAATGCCGAGTCGGGCTAGGCAGTCCTGAGAAAGAGCTGAGAGGAGAGTTGTCCTGGGTCGGCCCAGTCGACCGCGCAGGCTCGCGGTGGCTGAAAACTCTAACACGCGCTGTGGGGGAGAGCTCTTCTGCATTCTCAGTACGTGACCAAGGAATTCCCAACGCCGTTTTCTTTACTAGTACATGTATATGTTGATTGCGAAAAAGGACGACTGACGATATATTCTCCAGGCATTACAACGGACAACGGGAACAAGTTAGTGGGAACGACATTTATTATAGACGACGAGACAAGAGACCAAGGCGAACGAAACGACTACATTGAAGAGTGAGAAAGAGAGAGAGAGAGAGAGAGAGAGAGAGAGATCAAGTCTGAACGGCAAGATAAAGGGCCTGGGTAGCTATGGCAATTACATGTATGGGCGCGCAAGTAGCTACCCAGGCCAACGGAACAAAAGGAGACAAAAGGTGAGTACACGAGTGCATGCAGGCCAACTAGAAAAGGTACGGGAGGAGGTACCTAACATATACATACTGTAGGGTTATGGTTGTAGTCAGGAGCGCTATGTCCTCGCCTTGTAACATGCTGACTTGACCTCAACTTATCTGACGCATCCCGCGACCGTCATGCAAAACGTTTCCCGAAAGCGAAATGAAGTATTAGTCCGGTGTAACACATGATTTGTGTTTGCTGGTGTTCTCTTGCCGTTTGCGTTACTCCTGCACAGCAATGCAGTCACTGGACGGATGCACGGACGCCAGCGCAGGCTCAGGTAGGCTAACTGGTGTGCCTGTCACGACTGAACGATTGCGTGCCGATGAAGATTTGCTCAGTGAGTATGCTGCCATGCTAGTGGGGCAGTGCGATGAACTGAAAAGTCAAACAGCGCTGCCGGGGCTTAAAACAAAGCGGGGTCATCGCGTTGACGTCAGAAAATTCTTCACGCACGTACAGGCCGTAGCCATTGGTGAAGCCGAGGCTAGCTATGAAACTTCTCAAGACATAGCAGTTCACAATACGTTACCCCAGGCCCACCGCGAGTCTAGTTTCCCGATAGTGAATGCAGTCCAAGTCCTGCAAACTGAACCAACAATCGCAAATCCAGAGCACCTAGACCTGGAAAAGAGCTCCATGGTGGTTTCACCAGCAGGTAGTGGTAAGACCACACTGTGTCAAATGATCTTGGCACAGTACTGTGATCCATCACCGAGTATGTTGAAGAGCCGGTGTCGCTTTCCCATCTACATCTCTTGTCGGAACGATAGACAACGTCTGTGCAGCACTGACTGGTGTCACTTTCTTGCGTTGGATGATCAATCGTTGGATTTCAGCACTGGCGAGCAGCACCGTGTGCTGAAGGTTCTGCGCCAGAATTCCGATAGCCTTCTTCTGATCGTCGATGGCCTAGACGAAGCAGGTTTCGACGAGTTCCCTGTCCAGAGTTGCTTCAGAGAGACAGCATACAGGAAGCGCAAGGCATTCGTTGGATCACATCTTCTGCTGACGGGTCGGCCTTGCAAACTGGCGTCAACTCTGGTTGAGCACTGTGATGCTTTCTTTCGCCTCACAGGCTTCAGCCAGGCACAGCTAGAAGGCTTGTTTTGCCAAATCCTGGGTGATCCCGAAGGCAGAAAGTGCTGGTCAAGTCTTCAGGAAGAAGGCATGGAGCATGTGAAGGAAGCCGCCTTGAGCATACCGCTGATGGCAGCCCTAGTGTGTGAGTTATATTACTCCCGTCATCAAGTTCTACCACGTTGCAGCGCTTCACTCTACGGTCAGTTTCTTGACATGAATACATCAAAACGGCACGGCAATCTACAACTATATGCACAAAAACAAGATCCTACCTTGCAGAGCCAAGTGCCTACTTATGCCATCAGGGGTCAATTGAGTCACCCCGTGAACCGTCTTTCCAACAGCAGGGCGGAAAATCCTCACCGCTTGGCTAAGTCCAAACTGGTCAGCGGTAGCTTTCAGGATAGGTTTGGTGAGGCCGCCTTGAAAAGCCTCAGAGGGAAGACTTCCTTAATTGCAACTCGTCTTCTTTCCGCTGAGCAATTTGAAACAGCATGTGACCTGGGACTGCTGACATCTACCGAACGATCACATGTTTCGGAGAAATATTCCTTTCTCCACCAAACCTTCCATGAGTTCTTCGCTGCACACTGGCTGGCACATCAACAGGATCCTGGCCATTTGGCAAAGATCTGCGCACAGTCTGATGAGATTGGTGTGAGTGAGGCAACTCGTCCGTTCTGGAAGTTTGTCTGTGGACTCGTCCCTGTCCAGCACTTAGCAAGCATTTTCAAATGCATACGAGATGCTATGAAAGCTGCAGCAGTCTGGCCAGCAAACATGAATCAATTTCTCTTAGCCTGCTTCACTGAAGCTTCGGAGAGGTGCAGACAAAGCGGACTCAACGCATCTCCATCCAGCCAGCGAATTGAGCAGCAACACCTCGTTACAGCTGCACGGTGTGTATGTGCTGAGTGGCTAGACCTCAATGGCATAGAGCTGAGCACATTAGACGGGTTGTCACTCAAGGACCTTCTTGTTACCATCGGCCAGTTAAAGGCACTGAACCTCTCTGGTTCACTGTTGGGATTCAGACATGTGGGAGCCGCCTTAGTGCAGAATGTCACCACCCTGGACCTGAACGGCGTCAGTCTCCATGGTGATCCCATCACACAGCTGTCTCACTGGCTGTGTACTACTGAAAGCAGGCTAACAGATTTACATCTCCCCAGCTGTGGCTTTCAAACCACCGACGCCTCAGCTATTGCACATTGCCTTCGCTCTCAACAGCTCAGATGTATTAGTCTCTTCCGCAATGCCTTCAGCAAAGAATTCCTGTCTCAAGTGGTAGAGGCCATGCAGGGCTACAGCAGCTCAGTAGTGGCACTTTGGCTAGGTAGGTGCTCTCTTCCTTCTGGTTGTGGCGAGCTAATTGCCAGCCTGGTGGAGTTATCACCTCGACTTACTAGACTGAGTGTGGCGGGTAACCACATCACTTCCCGGGATGCCACCTTAGTCTTGGATACAGTGAAGAGTCGGGATCAAATCCGGATTTCATTCTCTGATAACCAGCTTGACGATTCCATCGGGGATTGTATTTGCTCGATTTTTGCATATCGCGCCACTTCCCAAGACCGCCTTGACACCCCCACTGCAAACCAGCAGGGCATGGGCTATTTCAGAGTAAAATTGGCAGGAAATTCCATAAGCTTGGAATGCCTTCAGAAGGTTGCACAGTGCGGGATGATGGCTGCAACAGACTGGGTACTCCACAACATGCACTGTGTGGAGAATGGACAGGTAATCCACAGAGGTGGACACATTGTGCAGGCAACTAACGGACACACTGTCGACTTTAGAGAATGGTGTATTGGAGATGAGGGCATTGATTATTTAGCACCCACAGTATCTAAGAGTACGGACATCCGCCTACTGGACTTGGACCGCAACCATCTGAGTTCTGCTGGAGCACTTCAGCTAGCCAACATCGCACTCGCCCACAACACCACCCTGCAGGTACTTGATCTACGCAGCAACAAGATTGAAGTGAGTGGACTTGTGGCCATTTTGGAGGCATGTTGCCTGCCCACTTCCTCCTTAAGAGCACTGTACATTGAGGGTAACCCAGTTTTTGCAGCATGCGATGTCAGCCACACTGAAATGCACAAGCTGTGTGGCATCCTGCCACACACCAGTCAACTGCGCCATCTTGGCTTGGCGAGGACAGAGATGAGGAGCGAAATTGCCTGTGCTATTCTCAAGGCACTCAAGACGAATACAGCTCTGTCATTCCTCGGCCTGACCGGTAACCACCTAGGTGACTGTGTGGCTAGTGCACTTGCCAGCCTCCTGCCGAGCAACGACTGTCTGAAGAGAGTGACACTGTGTGACAATGACCTCACAATGGCAGGTGCAGAGATCCTTCTCAGCTCACCTAGCATTCGCAAAATGCAGTGCATCTGGGTCAAGGGTAACCCACATCTGTCGATTAGAAAGCTTCGTCGCCCGCTAACATGGAGTTCGGTACGCGTTAAAATGTCTACTTTCCTAGATACACATCTACAATGAAGTACTGAGCACTGTGACAGGCTCTAAAGTGTAATGTCAGACTTGGCGGTATCCGAGTGCCGCTGATTTATTTTATGCCTGTATACAAAGAAGAGAATACTGCTGACACCTACATGTATAAAATCTTGAAAGTTGAGCCAATAGTAGTATGGAAAGAGAAAAGTCATAACTAGCAACTTATAGGTTCTTTTCTCTTACCTACATGTATATTCTGCTTAGCTCTTACCTACATGTATATTCTGCTTTGCTCTTACCTACATGTATATTCTGCTTTGCTCATCAAGAGCTTTCCAGGATGCCAACGATTGTGAAAGTCGGATAATTAGAGCTAAAGTTGTGCCCTGAATACGGTACGAATTTCTCATCGGTCTGTATCCATGCCATTTAGGATGGACGTTTAAGTCTGGCATTCCTACTCTCGCTTTCTTTCCCTTTTCAACTCCCTCAACTCGCTGTTTTATATTATGTAACTCCATTCTACCGCACTGACTTCAGGTGAAAATGCGAACCGAGCGCTCATTCTGTTTGCCGGGACATCCCTTTCCGTGGTGTTCGGTGGCCATGATGATCACGGTAGCATGTCCAGTTGTCATGGCTTTGTTGTCATGGCTTTGTTGTCATGGCTTTGTTGTTATGGCTTTGTTGTCATGGCTTTGTTGTCATGGCTTTGTTGTCATGGCTTTGTTGTCATGGCTTTTGCTCAAGCGCTATAGATTGTCTACATGTATGCTAAAATAATTTTTTGTGGTGGCTGAAAATCAATCCCTTTTAAAACCATTACTCTTTCCTCTGGGGCTAAGCTATTGCCCTCGGATCTATTTCTTTCTAATCATTTAATTATGGGTATTACTCTCCTTGACATTCACCTTGTTGAGCACTTTCGGTTGGCTGCTCTAGTCCTGCTGCATTGCGCATCACTCGCTACTTTTCGTAGCTAGAGCGCTCTGGCGCTAGAGCAACGAGTTATCTTTTTGAAATGAATGCCTGCAGTGCCACCTTTACACCATAGCCTGTAGCTCGGCTTACTTATATCTCGTAGCTGTACTGATGAGGCATATATGGCCGAAACAGCTTGCTGTCTACAGCATTGGGTAATCATTTAATTATGTATCTGCGGTATCGAATGATGTGAAGGCTCCAATGCAGCATAATACGTAGCACTGCTGTCAAAGCTGCAAACATCTTTACCACTATTCCGCCAGGTGTGTTTCAACCACCATTTCTCTGCCATCCTCATTACCGTCTTTATTTATTTATTTATTTATTTATTTTATTCCAAGCAATACATTGGCTGGGGTAGCCAATGACCACTTTGCGTGGCGATTGCAGGTTTATTTTATAGCCAACCATGGCTTGCATGTCACTGATCTGACTCGAACTTTCTCGCAGAACTATTGTACTGTATGGTGTTTGAAAAGCACTCCGCAGGGCACTTGCTTCATTTGTTTCAAAAGCACTCCGCAGGGCACTTGCTTCATTTGTTTGAAAAGGGCATTTGCGGGACTGTAGACCATAGTATCCAGTGTCGGAGATCTAGCACTTTTTTGCCATAATTATTATATTTGTACATACGGTTGTCCACTCACGATCGTTGAAGTCAATTGGAAAACGTCTATTGTGTTCACTTTACGTGTAATGTGTCCGGCTCAGTATCTCTGCTCTTTACTACTTTTCCATTTTGAAAATATCATAACCGAAATAATTTGTTGTGCCTGGAACGGTGTGAATTTGGCCAGGGGTATGGTAAGGTATATTTAATTTTACTTTTGCAACTCAACAGTGTTGATTGCTGCTAAAGGGGAATTGAACCAGGGGAAAAAGAAGAATGCTTTTTTAACAGAGAGAGGGGCGTAGGGATATTCAGGCACAAACGTAAATCGGTTACTTAGCACTCCCTGACATCTGCTGTACATGGAATTCTTCACATGGTGTGTTTGATAGTACCGTAAAGTACCGTTGACCTGCCCCCTTTCTAATTGCCGTCCTCCGTCGATGTTCTGCCTGTGAAGAGACTTTGGCATTACGTGCCGGTCCAGCATGGAAATGTGAACGATCCAGCACATCGAATCTGATCTTCCGCGTTGATGTGCATTGTACTGCACTTGACAGCCTTGATCTAATTCCCGTCCCCTGCCGAAAACCCAGCTGGGAAGCGACATGGCGTGGGGAGGGGGGGGGGGGGGTCAACGGTATGGGTATTATTCGGGATGCTCAGACCCGCTGTTTTTTTTCTCACTACAATCATAATAATAGAGAGGTTCCGGGGTACGATTTTCCGTGCCAAAATCCGTACGGCCTCTACGGATTTTTTGGAGGCGTGCTCCATACGATTTTTCGGCACGGAGAATGCGTGTGGACTGGCTTTCATACGAACCATGTTTCGTATGGAGATTTTGCGTCATCGGGTGCAGAAAGATTTTTGCGTACAAATTTGGTACAAGAAACATCGATTTTCCGCGGGAAGTTTTGATCTCGGTACAAACTTTCAAAATAAAAAGGCATAGCGCGGGAATGTGACGTGTTTGCGATCGTAACCTAGGCAATGGTGGCAAACACATAAGTTCCGTACTCCGGAACATTTCACTGCTCAAAAACGACGTATAAAAAATCCGTAGCGCCTCTACGGATTTTGGCACGAAAAATCGTACTCCGGAACCTCTCTAATATTATGATTCAATGTAGTGAAGAAAAAACAGCGGGCCTACTATTATACATGGACTTGACGTCGATGTACAGTGTGCAGGGCATGTACTCTGGGCATGTACTCTAGGCATACACTGACGGCATACACTCTAGGCATACACTGACGGCATGCACTCTAGGCATACACTGACGGCATACACTCACGGCATACACTCACGGCATACACTCACTGACTCACGACATACACTCACGGCATACACTCACTTCATACACTCACTGACTCACGACATACACTCACGGCATACACTCACTCACGGCATACACTCACTTCATACACTAACTGACTCACGACATACACTCACGGCATACACTCACTTCGTACACTCACTGACTCACGACATACACTCACGGCATACACTCACGGCATACACTCACGGCATACACTCACGGCATACACTCACGACATACACTCACGGCATACACTCACGGCATGCACTCACGGCATACACTCACGGCATACACTCACGGCATACACTCACGGCATACACTCACGGCATACACTCACGGCATACACTCACGGCATACACTCACGGCATACACTCACGGCATACACTCACCGCATACACTCACGGCATTCACTCACGGCATACACTCACGGCATACACTCACGGCATACACTCACGGCATACACTCACGACATACACTCACGGCATACACTCACGGCATACACTCACGGCATACACTCACGACATACACTCACGGCATACACTCACGGCATGCACTCACGGCATGCACTCACGGCATACACTCACGGCATACACTCACGGCATACACTCGGGGCATACACTTACGGCATACACTCACGGCATACACTCACGGCATACACTCACGGCATACACTCACGGCATACACTCACCGCATACACTCACCGCATACACTCACGGCATACACTCACGGCATACACTCACGGCATACACTCACGGCATACACTCACGACATACACTCACGGCATACACTCACGGCATACACTCACGACATACACTCACAACATACACTCACGGCATACACTCACGGCATACACTCACGGCATACACTCACGGCATACACTCACGGCATACACTCACGGCATACACTCACGGCATACACTCACGACATACACTCACGGCATACACTCACGGCATACACTCACGGCATACACTCACGGCATACACTCACGGCATACACTCACGGCATACACTCACGGCATACACTCACGACATACACTCACGGCATACACTCACGGCATACACTCACGGCATACACTCACGACATACACTCACGGCATACACTCACGCATACACTCACGGCATACACTCACGGCATACACTCACGGCATACACTCACAACATACACTCACGGCATACACTCACGGCATACACTCACGGCATACACTCACGGCATACACTCACGACATACACTCACGGCATACACTCACGGCATACACTCACGGCATACACTCACGGCATACACTCACGGCATACACTCACGGCATACACTCACGACATACACTCACGGCATACACTCACGGCATACACTCACGGCATACCCTCACGGCATACACTCACGGCATACACTCACGGCATACACTCACAGCATACACTCACTGACTCACGACATACACTCACGGCATACACTCACTGACTCACGGCATACACTAAAGACATACACTATGCATATGCTCTGGGCATACACTTTGGGCATACAGTGTCCACGTCCGCGTAGGGGAGTCCGGGTAGGGGAGTCGGCAAGGCCAGCTGAGTTGATGCCGATGTGTGGCCTGGGCATTTCGCAGTTCTTGTGGTGATTCGGTCTAGCGGCAAGCAAGCAATGCCAGCACGCGGCTCGTGTACACACGCGCACACATACACACATACACACACATGCACACACACACACACACACACACACACACACACGTATGCACACACACAGACGACACACACACACCTGCCCTGTCCTGTAGAGCCACTACCACTAGGGTCACGTGGGCCCCGGAGTGGCAGCAGAGGGAGAGAGAAGGAGCACGCCACCTGATGGCGCTCCAGATGCGAGACTAGTCGGAACCGGCGAGAGCAGATACACATATTCAGGAACTTGTCCCGTTGTCTAGCCGTTGTACGGTGGCAGTGCCTTGAACAGCGATGGCGGTTCGCGTCTCTGGGTTGAGCGGAAATACCGCTTGCAGATGTAACAGTGAGCACTGCAGCAATTCCGAGCGGTAGTATCAACGGCGGCAGCAGCAGCTGATGCAGTCGGTGCTGGGCATGAGGTAGAAGCGGCGCAACGATGCACACACACACATGCACACACCCACACACCCACACACCACACCACACCCACAGGGGGTTGGGGTCTGTGGACCCTAGCTACGCCCGGTGTATACTGTGTGCCTTTGTGACGCCATACATCTTTGTCACACCCGATAGCAAGGGTACATAACCCCAAGGGTATGCAACTCTGCATATGGGTAACCGCACTGGGTGCATTACACAGCCACGGATTGTGGTCCATTGCGTCATTATTGACCTGCTATGGTTTCCTGCTTCCAAATCCGCTTTCCTCGGAGACGGTTTTGTACGCGATAGGTCACGCACTGGCATCGCCTCTGAATTTACCGTATTGAACATGAAATTGTTGAGGCTAAACAGGTGGGCAATTCGAATCCAAGCAGCTGGATCGTCAGCTCACTACCTGATGCGGGCATCGCACCGCTCAGGGCACCCATAGCTTGGAGATCAGAGCGGCACGCTCTTGGGTGTGTGTACACTTGCCGATGGCTTTGGGAATAAAGTCAGCAAGAGAGCGGCCAGCTCAGGGTCCTCACTCTGCATGTGCTTTAGCTAGACATATACATGATTGTACTGATGAAGGTCATCTTACAAGTCAATCCAGTGGTTAGGCACATCTTAGCAATACAATAATTATTTTGGCCTTTCATAAATATTAAATACCCACACTGATTAGTGATCACACCATCAATAGTATCAAATTCAAATAAATTTGCTCGACTCAATAAACACCACTGCACTTTTCCCTAAAAGGAGTATTTTATAAACAGTATTTAAAAATTTTATTGGCTTCTGAGCCCATAAACGCTGTTTATAAAATACTCCTTTTTAGGGAAAGTGCAGGTCAACACACCGGTAATTATCTATAATATTAATGTAGTTGCCTCAGGATTTATTATATTACGTAACAGTTACGTACAGGCTATCCATCGTCAGGATATCTTTGTTGCTATGGGACCCGGGAGTATACTGGATACTGTATGTAGGAACCCTTAGCTTCTCTGAGCTTCTGCTCTGCTGATTCACGACCAATAGGTTTTATACGCAGCCCCCCCCCCCCCCCTTGCCAGAGACGATGATAGAGAATCTGATGCTACAGCACAAGCCATAGCAACTTCAACTTGTGCTGGGATTGCACCATTCAACAGCTCGCAGGGCTGAAGAATTGACCGCCACTATTCAGTCTGGTCTACGCCAGGGAGTCGTCAAATACTTGTCAAGTCTACGCCACACAGCTATTTGAAGTGGCTTTTTATGGCCTGTGAATCCCTACATTTTGGTCTTTTAATTTTTTCTTTTCCCACACACATCACACCACACACTCCAGTATGCACTGGCTGTTAGTAACTACCCAGGAGAATGAAAGAAAGGTCACGAGGAGTCTGAGAAAGAAAAGATGTGCGTGACCATAATCGCCGGGAATCGAACCCGCAAATTCTCGATTAGAAATCGACTGCACATACCACTGCACCATGGTAATTATGGGACACACAAGGGAAAGACAAACACACACACACACACACACACACACACACACACACACACACACACACACACACCACCACCACCACCACCACCACCACCACCACACTCCGGCCTTTATTCACTTCAGTGTCTGGAGATACGTGGATTTTTTTAGACTGGAAAAAGCAAACAAGAACGCACACGTGTCATCGTGTAAACACCGTCTATACAGCTGCCATCAGGGAGTCGTACCCAAACCATTTTCTGCGTACGACTCCCCGGCCCTAGGCTTTGGCTACAATGCAGCTACTAGTGGGTGACCATGACATTACTAACTCACACGGTTGTAAAGCTGAACACCATTATTCTAGGCCATAATAATCTAGGGGTTTATGGCACAGGTGCTGCTTCGCCCATAGAACAATGCATCACTGGGGCACACCGCCAAACCATGTGTAGCTTCAAGTAGTTACAGAACACAGAATTGACTTTTTCTGCTCGTAGAATCGCTACTTGTTTGCGCTGTGAGGCACACACACACACACATGACAACATGCCCGGCATGCCTCCCCCCCCCCCCCCCCCCCACACACACACACGCGCCATCACCCAGCAATAGGATTTCCCGAACACACGGGAAAAGGATGGAAGGTACTGTGGCGACCACACACCACCCACGGGTCTGAAGCAAAATCCCAATCGGAAACCATTGCAACCACCACAGAGAGTACCTACTCGTGTGTGCGCCTCAGGCCGGCAAGATCCTGGACTGTCTGTGATCGGGTTCATACTGAACACAAAGCAAGGAGGGAAAACAACACCTCCTTATCACAAGATAGGCCACAGACAACAACGACAACGACGGCACCACCACCAGCACCAGCACCACCAACAACAACAACGGGGTCAGCAGTTACATTGCATTAACGAAGCGAAACAATTACCTACAAATGGAGAAGTGCTTCATTCCAGGAGTAAGATTACATTGCAACATATTGAGCAAAACATACACACAATCATAAAAAAATAGTACATTCGCTGATGCTGGATTTGTGGGCAAGGAATTCCCAGCCAGGGGAACGTAGGGATGGTCTTGAGAATTGAGAAAAAAACACAGAAATTAATGCAATTTAAGCGCGTGTCTACGAGAGAGAGAGAGAGAGAGCAATGGGGGTACAGAGTGGGTCGCGTCAGCACGGGTCAGGGTTAGAGGGCGCAGGGGAGCCCACGGACTAAAACAAAAACAAACGGAAAAAATCAGAAACACAGCCGCATCGCCTTGTGCCGGCAGCGGACAAACAACAACAACGCAAAACAAGTAGAAGATAGGATGCACGCAACGGATAATTGATCCAGCAATCTGACAAAGACTGGACCGGAAAACAAAACAAAGAGACGACCATTGCAGTTCAGTATTTAAAACACAATGGAACAAGTTTAGCATTCAGCATCCACTGAGGAATTTGGTAAAAACAAGGCCAACAAGGAGACTGTTGGAAATGACATTGGAAGCTAGTAGTGTTGAATGTGGCACACAAGCTAATTGACAAATTTCTTCATAATATCTTTCTCCTAGCAAACGAGGCAAAAATAGCATTTAGTCAGCACCACAAGTTCCTGGTGGGCGTGCGTGCGTGCGCGCGGGCACCCACCCACCGAATGTCAGACTAGCAGAACATGAGCGAGCTGCAGCACAGGTTGATGGAACTATGCAATGGACTTAGCCTCCGGTAAGAAAGCTTCCCAGTACTTGATCAGCTGCACGCGGCACAACAGGTCCACACACACGCACACGCACACATGTACGCACGCACACCCGCACACATACACACACCACACGCACAAAGAAACCAGTTTAGTACACATAGTTTCGGGGTAGAAAACAGCAGCAGCACTCACACAAGCACAGGAAACATATGCAACACCTGGTCCTGTTCGGGCTGTTGGAAATTCTTACAGTGAAACTGCAGTACAAGTACCCTGGACACAGTCTCTTTGCAGCGAATTTATAGTATTTCTACTGGGAACACACCAGCTACCCATTCCAGTGATTTCACCTAGGATGTAGAGTACCTCGGCTAACGTTATGAAGCACTGATGTGTACATCCCCTGGAGTTATGTTATACTGAAGTTTCACTGTACAGGTGATGGTGAGCAAGAAGTGTGTGATAACTACACCATAGTTCAGTGATTGAGCATGGCTGGCTATAAGCAACGGTCCTACACCATAGTTCAGTGGTAGAGCATGGCTGGCTATAAGCAACGGTCCTACACCATAGCTCAGTGATAGAGCATGGCTGGCTATAAGCAACAGTCCTACACCATAGCTCAGTGATAGAGAATGGCTGGCCATAAGCAACAGTCCTACACCATAGTTCAGTGATAGAGCATGGCTGGCTGTAAGCAACGGTCCTACACCATAGCTTAGTGGTAGAGCATGGCTGGCTATAAGCAACGGTCCTACACCATAGCTCAGTGATAGAGAATGGCTGGCTATAAGCAACAGTCCTACACCATAGCTTAGTGATAGAGCATGGCTGGCCATAAGCAACGGTCCTACACCATAGGTCAGTAGTAGAGCATGGCTGGCCACAAGCAACGGTCCTACACCATAGTTCAGTGGTAGAGCATGGCTGGCCATAAGCAACGGTCCTACACCATAGTTCAGTGATAGAGCATGGCTGGCCATAAGCAACAGTCCTACACCATAGCTCAGTGATAGAGCATGGCTGGCCATAAGCAACAGTCCTACACCATAGCTCAGTGGTAGAGCATGGCTGGCTATAAGCAACGGTCCTACACCATAGCTCAGTGATAGAGCATGGTTGGCCATAAGCAACGGTCCTACACCATAGCTCAGTGATAGAGCATGGCTGGCTATAAGCAACAGTCCTACACCATAGCTTAGTGGTAGAGCATGGCTGGCCATAAGCAACAGTCCCACACCATAGTTCAGTGATAGAGCATGGCTGGCCATAAGCAACTGATTCGAGTCCTGGTGGTGACAGTCACATTTTTCTTCGGACGCTTCCCATTTTTTTTCGATTCCCCTCCCGGCTTGCTAGTTTGTACGTGAAGTGTGTGGGTACAGTGAGGGCTACGTCCCACCCGCCTGTGCGAATTCACAGGAAGCGTGAGTTGCGAAGTCTGAAGAGGATGTTGAACAGACGCTGCTAAAGCTGTGTACACAACTGGCGCGTGTACGCGGTACGCTTGCGGTTCATGCGTGCCCAAACGCTCGCTCAGGCTTTCACAAAAAACAGCAATCCGAGTCGTATTAAGCGCGTGCGACACCTTCGAGTACTAATTTTTTGACCCCGCCAGTCAAGGTGACTGGCATGTACTCTGGTACGCGCCTGATACGCGCTGAAAATTCCAACATGTTGGTAGTTCCATTTCGGCGCGTTTCCGTACGCATGGCGCCCCAAAAGCCAGCAAAAATACGCACAAACGCGTGGTCTCACTCGTACACGCGCCAGTTGTGAACACAGCTTTAGACGACGACTACACCATAGCTTAGTGGTAAAGCATGGCTGGCCATGAGCAAGGGGTCCTGCTGCGAGTCTTGGTGGTGACAGTCAATTTCTTCCCCAAACTTTTCCCGTTTGAAACTCCCTCAAACTAATGCAAAAGTGCATGAGTACATATTACGACCGTATTGCCAGACATAGCGTGTACACAGCCAACACGGTTGCAGTAGTCAAAGTACAGTACAAACTCACCTGCTCTTGGTTACGCATCATCTTCTCCATGTAGCGTAGGATACTGGCCTTGAAGTCCTTCTTTCTCTGGCCCTGCACACAGTGTCAGCAAGGACATTCAAAACAGAACTTCAGTGTTCAACAACTGCACACAGTGTCAGCAAGGGCATTCAAAACAGAACTTCGGTGTTCAACAAGTAGTACACTCAGACATGTACAGTCATCCCTCTAACCCAGCATTTTTTCATTTTCAAATCCATTCATAAATCAGCACTTCATAAACCAGCACTTCATAAACCAGCATAATTTTCAGCAACCAAAGTAATGTCCTTTCCATGTGCATTCCAGCAGAAAATCAGATTCTGTAATCCAGCACCCTCTCTATTGTAAACCGTGAAATTGTTGCCATGGTCTAATTTCTGCGAAATTCGCGACCGAGTGGAAATCGCGTGGAAATTTAGACAGCGCGAAAAGGAGATCCATGAAAGGTTTAGCAAGAATGCCACAGTAGCACATTCTGCAATCGCAAAATTAAAACCTCGCAAACATGTCCGGATTCGGAAAACGCGAACTAAAAACGCCGCGATTATTTCACGCTTTACAGTATTCCAGCAGAATTTCCGTAGCACAAATTGGTGCTGGGTTATAAAGGGACCAATGGTGGATAATTCCTGGAACCGTTCAGGAATTATCCAACACACCTCGAGTGCGGACGACAGAAGCCCAACTGGGTCTTACCTCGAACCGCTCGATTTCCGCGCGCATCACCTTGGAGATGTTGTTGAATTCCTCCTCTCCCTTCTCGACGCGTGTCTCCATCTGACACAGTGACACACACGAGACGCGTGTCTCCATCTGACACAGTGACACACACGAGACAGCGTGCACGAACAACATGAGCCAACAGGTTGTGAACATAAAAAACGGACGGCAAATTCACAGCACTGAAATGAAATATGGGGTCCCAAGGCAAACTTGTAGCACTAGTGCGTGCGCGCTAGGTTACACACACATACGCGCGCGCGCGCGCGCGCGCGCACACACACACACACACACACACACACACGGGGGACACATAACCATGTGGACCACGCAGAGGAGTTTATACACAGCACTACAAAAAGCGCACCATACCTGTACAATCTCCTCCTGACAGAGCTTGACCTTCTCAGTGTTACCGGCTGCCTGCAGCTTGCCTTCCTGCTCGCGCTCCTTGATGAGATTAGTCTGTGCTATTTGCCAAGCCTGGTAAGCCTTTTCACGCTGAGAAAAGCATGCCTGAACACAGACAAAGAGAGAAAATAGTGCACAATCAGTACGTTGGAAGGGAGGCAAGCCGAGTACACACATCAACATCACCAACGCTACAATTGTAGGATTGTAGTTCACTTTCTGATCACATTGGGTGTGCTCATGCCTGCCTAGTTCCCACCTCACGAATAACACCACCCTACTCATACTCGTGCAAAAGCGAGGGTCGGTATTCGCAAGGTTCAATGTATGACACACACGCACACACACACACACACACACACACACACACACACACACACACACACACACACACACACACACACACACACACACACACCAGGCTGAGGATATGCATACACACGCACACGCGCATACAGCACAGCACAAAGGGTTTAGGATCTGGTAGATACGCGCCGCTGTGATTCCAGCTTACACAGCCAGAATGGGCACCAGTCCAGTCCAGTATAAACCTGTGCACTATGCCAGCTGTTGTAGTGTTGATCAGAAATACATGTTATCTGCCGGAAGGGATATTCACACCCGCATCCTTGCGATGTCCATCATCACAGGGTGTAGACACCTAGAGTACAGGCACACCATCTGGTAAAAGGAGAGCGATCGCTCTCGCGCGCCTTCGCTCTCCATATTTTCTTTTAGGGCGCACTTTTCGTCGTGCGCCTTGAGAATTTCGAGCGCCGCATGATCCGCATCACTATGAAGTTCTGAAAACACTCAAATATTTCGTTACTCGGCTTTCCCTGAACGGAATCGAGTAATCGAAAGACCTATTCGCATTAGAAACTTCTCAGCTGTTGGCTCCAACAAATCGGAAGTCGATCCGAGGTCCAATAGTGGAGTCACGGCACTCGCAAGGTATTTTACGTACTGTTGCAAATTTTCACTTCTGCACACATAATTTTGACATAAAGGATTTCCCTCTGCTGCGTGACCAAGGTGACAGTCCGGGTACGGGTACGGGTATGCATAGACCTGTGCATGATCGATTGTGTAGGTCGCGAAGGACTAATAATCATCATGTACCTCACACATGACTTGATTACATCAGGAGTACCGCGCTTCTATAATTATTACTCAAAATAATAGATCTTCCATGCATGCTGCTGTCATCACGTCTACTACTAACTAAAAGAAAGTGATACTAGACAGTATACTGTCTAGTATCACTTTCTTTTAGTTAGTACAGTCATGCACAGTCATGTACATGTAGGTCATATGTTGTTCCGGACTACAGTCAACTTCGCTTATAACGACACTCGGCGGGGCATCAGAAAAGTGTCGTTATTCACAAAGTGTCGTTATACCCGAAGTCTCATTATATGTACAGTCAACTTCGCCAATAACGACATTCGGCGGGGCATCAGAAAAGTGTCCTTATTCGCGAAGTGTCCTTATAACCGAAGTCCCATTTGAATGTATGTGAACCCATATTTTGTATAGTATGACATGCATATCAAAATCAAGCTCTTTTCTTGCTCTATGTCAATGTGTACTTTATTTTCATATTGCAGTTGAAAGGAACTAAAAATTCAATATGCAAGGGAAATCAATTGAAAAATATGCCTTTTTGAGCCATCTACAGGGCCAGAGACATGTACATGTATGATGATTACTGTACAATCATGTACAACTACATGATGTACATTGTATACAATGTCATATAGGTGTGCTGGTAAATCCAACATAAAAAAGGAAGAAAAAGCCCCCCCCCCCTTGGCTGCATTTTCTTGCATGTGTGCCTTTTTAATAATAATATCCATCACCATAGCCATAGGTTCTGGTACTTCTGCATGACAGGTACATGTACTTGACTGACAGGTACTTGAAATAGCTGTCAAAAGCCCAGAAAGTCGTTATTCAAGCAGTGAATATGACCTCGGGGCACTAAAAGCATGTCGCTATACGCGAATTGTCGTTATTCAGATAGTCGTTATATCCGAAGTTAAATGTATACAGTTAGATGGGACTTTGCTCTGGGCATGGAAATTCGGTCGTTATTCGCGAATTGTCGTTATATCCGCAGTCGTTATTAGCGAAGTTGACTGTATTACAGTTGGATGGGACTTTGCTCTGGGCATGGGAGTTGTGTCGTTATTCGCGAATTGTCGTTATATCCGCAGTCGTTAATAGCGAAGTTGACTGTATTCCAGACCTTCCACGTCATATGCCTGATGAGTAATGTTGCTGACTATAGATATATCTCACCTTCTAGAATACCTCGCTTTGTCATTATGTTTATGTTACGCAATGCTCACTTCATCTACATGTATAGCTCGACAGTCCTGCAAAATGCTCTCGATGCCCTTGTGAATTGGGGCACCAGCTGGAGAATTGCGTTCGAGCCAGCCAAGTCCCAGGCCATGACTATTGACGATCACCGCCCCGCCTGGGACCTCCCAGCAGTACAGTTAGTGGGTGTCCCCTGAATGGAGAGAGTAACCTCAAGCTTCTTGGGGTAACCTTGGACAGCCAACTTTCCCACCGCAACCACCTCCGTACCATCGCCATCAGAGCACGCCAGCGTCTCGGGCTCCTGCGGAAGGCCTCGCCGCTCCTGGATTCTCGCAGCCGAGCTACAGTGTACCGTGGGTTTGTACGCCCAGTAATGGAGTACTGCCCATTGGTATGGATGGGCGCAGCAGATTGTCACTTGCAGCGACTTGACCAGACGCAACGCTCAGCCCTCCACTTGATTGGCCCCGGCGCAATGCTGCAAAGCATGTCTATCCGGCGCATGGTAGCTGCGTGTACCTACATTTACAAGCTACTGTGCTCCAATCCTACCAGCCCACTTCGTCAGCTCTTGCCTCCCTCTCAAGCCCATGTTCGACCCACTCATCTCTCTCTCTCGTCCGTCTCGACATGCATAACTACCAGCTTGAGACAGGGCTTTTTTTTTTTTTTTTTTTTTTTTACTATTGAACACTCACTGCATGATGAACTAAAATGAGGAGAAGAACTCTACCTGTCAATAGCCGGGGAAGTTGCCGTAGGGCTTTCCCCGCCTGTGCTGTCCCTGTATGGAATGCCCTGCCACCCGCCGTCCTCAGCCAGCCACCTGACCGGAAACGGCTGCAAAGTTTCAAAGTGTCTGTCTTCCGGCACCTCTGTGCCCAGCAATGGCACTGGGCCACTGACTTATTATACTTTATTTAGTTCTCTTGCTCTGCCCCCAACCCTCCCGCTCTCTCTCTCTATGTATCTCTCTCTCTCTCTCTCTCTCTCTCTCTCTCTCTCTCTCTCTCTCTCTCTCTCTCTCTCTCTCTCTCTCTCTCTCTCTCTCTCTCTCTCTCTCTCCTCTCTCTCTCTCTCTCTCTCTCTCTCTCTCTCTCTCTCTCTCTCTCTCTCTCTCTCTCTCTCTCTCTCTCTCTCTCTCTCTCTCTCTCTCTCTCTCTCTCTCTCTCTCTCTCTCTCTCTCTCTCTCTCTCTCTCTCTCTCTCTCTCTCTCTCTCTCTCTCTCTCTCTCTCTCTCTCTCTCTCTCTCTCTATCTATCTATCTATCTATCTCTCTCTCTCTGTCTATGTCTCTCTCTCTCTCTCTCTCTCTCTCTCTCTCTCTCTCTCTCTCTCTCTCTCTCTCTCTCTCTCTCTCTCTCTCTCTCTCTCTCTCTCTCCCTCTCTTTCTCTCTCTACTATTGGCGCGCCTGGTTGTGATGAAGCCGAGACCCAAGGTCGGCAGAGCATCCCAGACCACGCCACCACTCCCCTTATTCATGGCTCACACATGACGGGTTTACGTGGCTCTAGTAAAAAAAATTAGCAATAATGATCTAGATTTGCCTTCTCCACTATTCTAGAACTTGTACTAGGAGGATGATTTCGTAATCATTGCAATGGCTTACTAACCTTACTTTCCTACCTCCGCCTGCTTTGCTATACATACTTTGCTTGCCTATAAAAGCTGCTGTGTTTTCTCTGCCATGATGAGATCGGAGAGATCCGATAGATCAGAGAGAGAGAGAGAGAGAGAGAGAGAGAGAGAGCAAGATAGAGTCTTGTTCACTTAGGAATATTTGATATAAGATAACCTCCAGGCCGTGCCGGAGTAAGTTCTGATACGTTCGTTGACTGACTGTGGGTAGTTGCCTCCTTGCCTTAGACCGCGCACATTGCACATGCATCCCCATACCAAGATGACCATGCATGCTAGAGATCAACATGGAAAGGAGAAAACATGACTTCTTCTAATCATTAGTTGATTTCTTTTGTAATTTTCATTGCCAAATTATTTTGAGTTACCTTTGAAAAGTATCATGTTCAACTGTCTTCGTAATTGTCATGCTCGTCCAACCGATGTCACCCTCACCATGGGAATAATCTGCTCCATCTCTCCCGTAGCTCCACCTCTCCTTCCACCATGACGGAATATCAAAAGTCACTACATGTATACCTCATTTGTTTAATTATTAGAGCAATAACCATAGCTTGCACAGTCGATGGTCTCCTCCAGCGCGCTTCTTTGCACACATTTGCGGAAAAGTTGCGAAGTACGTAGTTGTTTGTGAAAATGAAGAAAGTTGCGATTTCTTCCAAAACAACGGAAAGTTGCGAAAAAAGTGGCGAGCATCTTTGGAAAAGGGCTACTCCGAACCCTGTACTATGCAGACCACCAGCACTGATCAGGTGCATTGTACACAATTGTGTAGCTTACATACTAGAATTGTGGTAGAATCATGTACATGTAGTTATGCTCCTACGTCTGAAAAGATGCCAAATTATGCTCCAAATTTTCAACCACCAAATTATGCCAATAATTATGCCGGCATAATCCGCCGGTGCCTACGTGACTGACTCACGCTGCTGTCTGGTGTTCACGAGGTGTTTGTCGCGCTGGAAACGGAGCGTCTCTGTAAGTTTGTATCCCTGGTGATGTTTGTGCCTGGAGAGCACTAATAAGTGGTGCTTTTCAGGCACAATATTCCTCAGCCTACTCAAGCTCAACTGATGAGGGGTGAATTCCCCGAAACACTGTGTATTGAGCAGGGAGTGGTGCTTTCTTGCAGGAGGTTTGCCGAGTCGAAGGTTCGATGGACTTCTCGTGTGCTCTGGATGGCAGTCGTGAGTCAGTCAAGTGTCAAGTAAAGTCGGCGGAATAGCGCGAGCTCCGGTGTGGGGAGCAAACCCTTTATTATTATTATTATTATTATTATTGGTTTTGAGGGAAAGAGACAAACGGGAAAAGTCTGAAGAAAAAATTGACTGTCACCACCAGGACTCGAACCAGGGACCCTCGCTTGTAGCCAGCGATGCTCTAACCACTGAGCTATGGTGTAGTCGTCATCCAAGCAGTGACCGTTCAACGTTTTCCTCAGACTTCGTAATTATTATTATTATTAAAATTAGAAAGGAAAAGGACATATGGAAACGAGTTAAGAGTAACTCTCCACCACTTTAACTAGAAACTATATAAAGTCAGAAAGTGCAACAGCTAGGCACAAAACTGACAGAGTACTGAGACATTTGACGTCCTGACACCTACCTTCAACACATCTCCGTAGCGCTAACCGACAGCCTTCCAACTTGGAAGGTTCAAGGTTATGGAAAGACCAAAGAGGGGAAGGCAAGCGCAACGAAAAGGAGCACAAGCTACAGTCCCAACGGAACAAAGAATGTCGATTGTCACTGGACGATGACGAAGCTAGGTGTCAGGACGTCGAATGTCTCAGTACTCTGTCAGTTTTGTGCCTAGCTGTTGCACTTTCTGACTGTATAAAGTATCTAGTTAAAGTGGTGGAGAGTTACTCTTAACTCGTTTCCATATGTCCTTTTCCTTTCTACTTTTATTATTGGCTCAATACCCGAGTTTCAAATTATTAAAATTAATTGTCGATAGGGCAATCCCGGTAATCTAGAGCGAGAGTAGAATATGAAAAGAATATATGATAG